CCCACCATCCACACCAGGTCCCACCCCTGCTCCCAGCACGAGCTCAGCATGCTGGGGGGGACACTGGGAGGGCAGGGGGTTGGGGAATGGGTGAGGGGTCTGGGAGGAATTTTTCTGTTCGTTGTTTGGTTTGGGGAGGGGTTTTTGGGATGGGTCTATTTTTATTTTTAAAAAAAAATTCATGTCTGGAACAAAAGTCAAATTTTCTATAAAGGCTTTTTTTGTTTGTTCTTTTTGCAAGCATCTGATGGTCATAGGGTAGGTTTCCACTAAACCATTCTCTGCTGGCTGTTTGAGTAAGGTACCCCTGGGACCTGGTACCACCAGGACTCAGACTGTCCCTTGTCCCTAAGGATGGTGGTTACCAAACCTGCCGGGGAGGGAGAAGGGGAGGGGAAGGCTCCTCACCAACTGTGTCTTCCAGGGACAGGATTTTTAGTGAGTGTGGTTGGTTGTGCCAAGCTTGGTGCCTCCTGTCCCCTGCCCCAGCAGGAGAAGGGTCCAGAGAAGGGCCATGAAGTTGATGGGAGGGCTGGAGCAGCTCTGCTCTGGAGCCAGGCTGGGAGAGGTTGGGGGTTCAGCCTGGAGAAGAGAAGGCTCCAGGGAGATCTTAGAGCAGCTTCCAGTGCCTGAAGGGGCTCCAGGAAAGCTGGGGAGGGGCTTGGGACAAGGGCAGGGAGGGATGGGAGCAGGGGGAAGGGTTTCCAGCTGGCAGAGGGAGCTGGAGCTGAGATGGGAGGGAGAAATTCTGGGCTGTGAGGGTGGGGAGAGCCTGGCCCAGGTTGCCCAGGGAAGCTGTGGCTGCCCCATCCCTGGGGGTGTTGAAGGGCAGGTTGGATGGGGCTTGGAGCAGCCTGGGCTGGTGGGAGGTGTCCCTGCCCATGGCAGGGGTGGGACTGGATGAGTTTTTATGTGACTTCAGCCCAAACCCTTCTGTAGTTTATAAGTGTGAAGGAGCTTTGCCCTTTTGTAACCTTTTCTGCTTCTTCTCTTCTCTGGTCCTTTTCTCAGTGGCCCCATGTGGGCTTATATCCTGGCCCATGAGGATGCTGTTCCTCTCTGGAGATCCCTGATGGGACCCACCAAAGTCTTCCAAGCCCGAAACTCTGTCCCCAGCTCCATCCGAGGAGCCTACGGCCTGACAGACACCAGGAACACCACACATGGCTCAGGTAGAGCTGCTTCCGGGGCTGTTCCCGTGTCGCTCCCCGCGCGGGGGCCGCAGCCGGTGATTTGCTTCTTGTGCAGCCCCCCGGGCCCTTTGGGATGGAACCACCTCGTGGTGCCCGGCTGGCATCACCCATGCTCTTGTCCTGTTTTCTGCCAGATTCGCCAGCTTCAGCCAGCAGAGAAATTGCCTTTTTCTTCCCT